CTCTATGAGTGCAAGGTGCCTAACGCAATAGCCACAACAAACCTAGGAGAATCCCACACAAAGTATGGTCTACTCGTTTCTAAGAGACCCCCAACCGCATAAATAAAAAAACTTAAAAGGGCCCAAATGTTTTAGAACAAGTTTTAATAACTAAGCTTCTTTAAACTAATGCTCAGTTAATCCCCATCACCCCTGCTAGTAAAACACGATACAAATAGTCAGGCCTTGTTTGGAGACAATTTAAAATTAGTGTTAGCATTTTACATAATTATTTAATGGTGCAAATAAAGTTTGAAAATGTTAAAGCTAAACGCTGCCACTTCTCAAAATGCTAAAGCTAAACAGTGGAACTATTACAAACAGACACTCAATAATAAATAGATGTATAAACCAGCTTAGGGTTCAACAAACGATCAATTAAATATCATATTGACTTAGCAAAATACAGAATCAGATACGTTCATGTATGATAAGGCTTTCCCTTGAAAAATACATTTTAACTTACAAATAATAATATTGAAAAATAAAAGGCAAAAACACTATGTGGCAAAATATATAAACGAATAATTATGGGAGAAATAATCAGCAATAGGAGCTGAAGTTTGAAGGATTTAATTAGCACAAAGTAGAAATAATGAAATAAACAATAACAATGCCCGATTTGAGAACTATATTATGGGGGGGAAATTAAATATTCAGACAATACGAAAGGAATTAAACACTTAAGATTCGAGATAGTTCTATCAGTGAGTAAAAACCGGGAAGACACCTCAATCGGATGATACCCGTTGATCGGGTTTTGAAGAGTTGGCCAGCTTTAATCGGTGGTCCCTGAAGGCGTCGGACTTTGAAGAGTTGGCCGGTGGCTCTAAGGGAAAGCAGAGAAAATGTCGGCTAGTCGCAAATGAATAGGTCGTCGCCCGGCGGCTTGCCGGGAAGGCAGAGGTCGTCGACCGTCAGCTCGTCGCAGAGGCAGAGAGCAACTAAGGGCAAACCGGAAAGGAGTCGGTATTGATTAGGGCTTCAATTCACTTCACATCCGACTAAATATATACTAGGTGATTAGTAACCCTAATAATAAGCTCATAATCCTTTATTATAATAAAGGAGACTCAATGCACCAGAGCTTGACATTTGGCATGTACATGTGGATCATTTTTACACAGTTGGCTGAAATGGTTTATCCGGTGCTTTTGGACTTCCAAAGTAAATGTTTTCCTCTCCAATTCGGTGCTTTTGGTTCACACGATCTATGAAATATTTTATTCAGAGTTAATATCAATGTCTCCCATTCTTATCTCCAATTCATAGATCGAAGATCTGAACAGATGCGATATCGATGACGATGGCCTTCATCACCCGTCTCCTTCAGGTTAGCTTCCATCGCCATTTGTATTTAGGTTTCAATAATCTAAATCTGCATGATATCTTCCATCAAAAGGTGTTATGGCTATGGTGTTCAATCATTCCACCTAATTTTTTTAATCAATTTCTAGAATTAAAAACTTATCCAAATTAGATTCGATTTTTAATTGGACATCCTTGAATTTTTTAAAAAATTTATTTTCTATTTTTTTTCAAAATCGTTTTAAGGGATAAAAATAATGGGTTTTTAGATTTAATTTCCAAAAATAAACACTTGACCGAAATTTTTTTCTCAGTATTTTACCTATTTTTTAAATTTAATTTCTATAAATATAAGCTTAAAAATATTAAAGATGATTTTTTTATGGTGCTTTCCTCATGAACGAAAATTCAATTCCTTTTTTTCCTCAAAATTGCTTTAATTAATAAAACAATATTGTCCAGAGCGTTTTTTTCTCAATATTCTACCTATTTTTTAAATTTAATTTCTTTAAATATAAGCTTACCAATATTAAAGACGTTTTTTGTGCTTTCCTTATGAACGGAAATTCTCAACAAATTCAATTTCCTTTTTTCCCTCAAAATTACTTTAATTAACAAACAATATTGACTTTTTAAATTGCAACATTAATGACTCTTTAATTGGTCATCCCAATGGGCTATATTTACCTTTTTTTGGAATATTCACTTTACTTAAATAAAAACATAAGGAATCCTTTATCCTTTATATATATAAAGCAGAGTCGGAGCTGCAGGAACACGACATTTGGCAAAGTTGAGCAGTGACATTTGGCAAAGTTGAGGAGTGACATGTGGCAAATTGAGGTGACAAGAGAATTAAATGAAAAAAATCACACGACCCGTAAAGTAAGCTTTCCTTAGCCGTAAAAAACCCGACCTTTCCTCATCTCGGATGAATGCACCATTCCTTTGCAATTAGAACATGAATGCACCATTCCTTTGCAATCAGAGATGCAAGAGAAAGAGAAAAGGAAAATTTCAACAAAAAAAAATAGAAAAGGTATGTACTTTAAATGTTGTTTTATCTTAATATATTTAATTTTGTTTTATTGTTTTAAGGTAATTTGATACATAACATTTTTGAATTTTTTAATATAACAAAATCAAAAGGGATATTTTAGTGACCGGAATTTTTGTATTTAAAATTTATATGGTTGCTTTTTAATGAGCATTGAAAAATTTTCTTATCTTCATCTCTAAATCGTTAGTATAGATAAATTAATTTATGTTAAATAAATAAAGTTTAATACAAAATTTAAAATTAGATGTCAATTTTAGAAAGATTTAACAAATTCTCCATGTGAAAATGAACACTCCAAGAAAAAATAAAATATGTGTACTTTTTTTTTATTATAGTCATGTTATTTTATCAATTATAATCTGCATCCGTAAAAAATTAAATGTCGTTCATATGTTTCATAGAAATCATGGATAATTAAAATGTATAATTATTGATTTATCTAGGTATGCATATAGCTCACTGATTATTTTTTATCAATTTTATATTTACATCAATAGGAATAAAATGGTGTCTAACCATGACTCTTTAATTTCATTTTTCTATATTTTTTATGAAAAAAATAGTTTATACATATTGAATATTTTAAACAATTGAATGGACGAATATTAACAAAGTTGAGTAAAAATATATTCATATTTAAAAAAATTTTAAAAAAATTCAAAACTTTGCAATAAATTTGATATGAAATTGGTGAATATAAAAAAATGTGCATACATATTTTAAAATAAAATGATATGCATGCGAGGGAAAAATATTTAGGCATTGATACAGAATGATCAATGTAAATAATTCAAAGTTAAAATATAAATTTTAAATTGGAAAATTTACTTATATCTAACACGTAATTCATTTATCAAAATGGCAACTAAGTTGTGTTTAACTCAAATAATTAATACTCCATATATATATTCATAGTCAGATGAATTTACCTAAATAACACTAAAACATAATGACTTTCCCTAAATAGCAACATATGTTTTTTATTTCCTAATGTAGCACTTTTAGTCATTATTTAGATAAATGTTCACTGTCACAAGATATTATTTCTCCTTCTAGACATTATTAAGTGTTATTTAAGGGATAAAAAGTTTAAGGGGCTGTTTGGCAACTTCTGAATAGATAAGTGCTGAACCATTAAGAGCTATTATATTGGTTAACTATTCAGATGCAAATGTCTGATCAATTCAGATAAGAGGTCTTAACCATTCAGACTCTGTATAATACTTAACCCTTTAGAGGCAAATGTCTGAACCATTCAGACATCTGAACCATTAAGAGGCTGAAACAAACAGCCCCTAAGTCTTATATTGGGAAAAAATGACCTTTGTTTTAATGCTATTTAGTGCAGATATGAAAAATGAAAAATTTGAAAAAATATATAGGGAAAAAGTTTGAAAAATGAAAAATTTGAAAAATGAAAAATGAAAAATTTGAAAAAGTTTAAGTCTTAAATTGGGAAATGACTTATGTTTGAGAATATGAAAAATTATTCTTTTTTTTTGAGGATAGAGCACTATTGGCACCAAGTCTCAAAGTAGTTGAAATGATAAATGAATTTGTTCTGTCCCTCATTCTTGGTGATGAAAAGGAGTACTTGAGTTCTGATTCTTGGTGCCAAGCAGAAGCAGATGTAGGTGGTGATGTCGATTGAATAACAGTTGAGTTTTTGAATGAAATCAAATGTTCGGGAATGTCAAACCACAAAATAGTCTTGAAAGAAGGGATACCGATTATGCTGTTGAGGAACATTGACCAAACATCTGGATTGTGTAATGGGACAAGATTAATCGTTCAAGAGCTGCGAAATAATGTTATCGGTGCAATTGTGGTTTCAGTAAATCGAGTCGGGGAAAAATTTTACATCCCTAGAAGGAATTTGGTAGCATCTAATCCAGGGTACCCTTGAAGTTCCAAAGAAGACAATTCCCGATTGCCTCATGTTTTGCTATGACTATCAACAAAAGTCAAGGTCAAACATTGTCATTTGTGAGATTAGTTTTAACCAAGTTAGTGTTCACACACGGTCAAATATATTTTGTTGTTTCACAAGTGACAACAAAGACATGATTAAAAATATTAGTTCTTGATGACAATGGAAACCCTTGCAACCATACCAAAAATGTTGTATACCCTGAAGTCTTTCAGAAAATTTGGTATTAAAATAAACATTGTTAACTCTATATTCTGTTCCTCAAATATTATTTATATTACTTTGGTTTTTTTTCATTTGTAGTATTAAAAATCATGTGAGCAATATATTTTCTTTATTCCGAAAAATAAATTTAATTGAAATAATTCAGAATTGACAAAAATTTCTTTCGACCCCGTGCATGGCACGGGTCAGAATACTAGTAATTCACATAATCTGAAGAGTACCTACCGACCATGCCCCCTACATAAACATGTGTTATGAAAGCAAGAAAATTAAAATTAGAGGGTGGGTGGAGAATTGGTAGAGATAAATATGTGGTGGAGAAGTGGGTGGAGGCAAGGATGGGGTGTGTAGAACGGTCCATGGAGAAAAAATAGTGTAGCACATTACTATCATGCTCAAACAACAATATAAAATTCAAGTAACATTAAACGAACTTACATGTGTGCCGGATTCGGGACAAATCACTCTATCCTTAGACTTGCTTCCCCCACCCGAAAAATAAAGCACCACCGGTTCAGCCCCGCAGCTCGCCAAACCAACCCGACAGTTCACACAAACTATTGTCCAAACTTTGACAGCCCCGGTCACTGGCCCACAAAGCCCCTGCTGGCTACTCGAACTACCCAATCGGCTTAATAGGCTGGAAATCATGCATCAACAACCCCATTGATCTAATTGAAACCCAACACTAGGGGTGAGCATCGGGTCGGTTCGGTCGGTTTCGGGTCAAAACCGAACTAACCGAATTGTTTTTTACTATCTAAAAACCGACCGAAACCGACCGATATAATTGGATAACCGAGAAAAACCGAAACCGTTTTAACCGAACCGTTTCGGTCGGTTATTATAAACCGAACTATATATACAAAAAAATAGGCAAGGGCGTGGGGAAATTGGGTTTTGCATGGAAAAAAAACTATTAAGTAGAGAGGCTGGGGAAAGATGATTGGAAGCATAATAATCAAATAATTAATAGAGGAAAAAAATTGAGATGTGGATGGGGATTAGGGAGTACATACCGGAACTGACATCGTCTTGGCTAAGAACTTCCCATGGCAACGGCAACGATGGCCGATTGGTCGATGATGGTGAATTGGTGACTGGCGAGAGGCGAGGCAGAGCAGCAGGAAACAGAGACAGAGAAGAAGGGAAGAACTGATGAATGACGATAGTGACGAGGGGGAATAGGGTTTTTTCGTTTTCTAACTTCAAGCCCAAACTGTGTCCACTAATTTCATAAATTGGGAATTTTGGATTGCTTAGGATTGGGTATTTTTCCATTTGGGTTGCTTAGGATTGGGTATTTAATTTGGATTGGGTATTTGGCATTTGGGATTTGCTGTTTCGGGCTGGGTAATAGTTCGGTTATTCGGTCGGGTTTAATGATTCAAGCCCAAACCCGAAAACCGACCGATTAACCGAATTGACCGACTCTTAAGACACCTACTAACCGAAACCGAAACCGAAAATTTCGGGCGGTTCGGTTTTTTTACCTCGGTTGCACGGTTGGTTCGGATAATATGCTCACTCCTACCCAACACATCGAATAAAAGCTAAAATTTATCCAATTGAACTCAACATAACCCAATTGACCCAAATAGGATCCAAACTAGCCCAATTAGCTCAATTTGACCAAATTAGATCGAATTAAGTCCTATTGGAACCACACAGCAGCATCAACAGCTTGGATCGTACCTTTGTCGATGACCCGCTGGTGAACTACCAGATGTCTGAACCCCATCCACTCCAAACACGCCCTTTTCCCCAAAACATACATCAATTCACATGATTTCACAACTAATTGCTAAATTCATATAAACGAGATCTTAGTCTACAAAATTAACGCTAAAAGAAACAACGCCTTTGCATTTGTTAGGGCTCGAATCTGAATAAACTTTAATATGAATCCTAGAGAGTGGACTTCTTATCATTCAAGCCAGAGAAGTTCAAGTTCCAGCAACGTATCCATGATTCAATTGTGACTAGTTTATGCCTAATTAGTCACTTCGTTTGTCGTTCATAACTTGGCCACTAACTCCGTTTCACACACATGGCGGAAAGCTCTACAACATAGAGTGATTTCTCAAATTAGAAGGCAAATTCCAACAATAACCTTGTGCGAGTCCAACTCGGCAGTTTAATTAAATATTTAAATTAATTATAATATTAGATCGAGATTCGGGATGTTACACTCTTTCTGGGCTTCTCTATAGAGTAACTTAATTATATGACAATGAACTAATTTGATTTAATCTACGGTATTTGGTTTCACAACTTGGAGTGTAGTATTAAATCATTGGAAATGTTCCAAGTGTAACACTTTTTTTCGTGCATAATAACTTTCTCCTTTGAAAATGGGTTTAAACCATTTGTCTCTTTGTAAAACTAGTTCATTGGACCTAGAATTGAGTATTTGAGAGTATGGATTTTATAACTTGGGTTTGTATATTTAAATATTTTAAAACAACCTCTTGAACGTTTAGTTTCTATGAAATCTACAGTTAAAACGTAGGACATCAACTTACCCTTGTTGTACCCATGTATAAAATTAATAAACTCTCAAAAAAGTAAGTTTTCAAAAATCTGTACTTGCTTTCAAAGGGTTTTGTCATGTATGGCTACAAAAAACCCCACCAACTCCGGCCCTTTCTTTTACATATAGGAGAGTCTTCTAAACAACATTAAGTAGATATTTATGAGACTTTAATTGAAGACTGCCACTCTTTTTAGATGTATTGTTGGCAAAATGTAGTCTTGGCCATTGGCTTAGTATATAATTCAATTTATCCATGGTAGTTTATCATATAACATCTCCTTTCATATGTATAGGTTATTATTTGAAAATGGTCAAACCATCTCTGATTATCTTCATATGTATAAAATACTTCATTTTCTACATTGTATACTTTATGAATATTAATATAAAAGTTTCTACGCCCTTTTGTAAATTGTTTATTTGAAAAAAGCACGCTTAAAAATTACAATCTTTAGAATAGTTGCATTACACATGCTATTTGTGTACTCTCGAATATCAATTTAAAACATTAATGAACGAGTTCTTTGAAAAATATTATTCTTTTTTAGAAAAAAATATAAGGATGTATTAATAAAATATGTACAGAGACATGTTAGAACTTGTTGTCACACACACACACACACATAGTATTTGGATCTTCTATTTTGCAAACTCCTTACATATATATTTTTCAAAATTTAGTTAATTTCATGGAATAGATTGTCTGTGCAAATTTTGTTTATCAATCGAAAAAATTACTCCATTTTAAAGCATATTTTATTAATACAGTTACGGTATTAATTACAATAATATTGCATGTTGTTTTCAATTTTCATAATTTTGGTGTAAGTCTAAAAATCAATTTTTCTCCAGATTTCATTGGTTATTTGATAAAATAAAATATTCTTGACACCTCTTATTTCGAATAACTTTTCATGTACTTTTTTGATATGTAAATTTTATTTTTTATTTCTATATCAATATGTAAATAAAATAAATTGAATAAATTTGATATTTTACCTATAGAATATAAGTGCCCCTAATTATTGAGGAATGAAGTGAAAACTACTCCGTAATCAATAACACAACACCATCAAGTTTGAACGCACGAGTACTTGTCTTTGTGGGAGTGGTCCGTGGTGTACCAAAAATACCCCATCCTTAAAAGCCCCCTAAATCGTCTCTCGCCAAATTGACGCACTGCGCAAATCAACTGCTGAAAAACTCGGAGTCGAGCTCTGACAATGGCGGATTCAGTTGCTCCTCAGGAACCCACAGATTCGAATCCCCAAACAGAAAGCAAATCAATTGACCCGCCCGTCCCCTCTTCCGGACCGGCGCCTGTCCCGCAGCCGTTCACATCTGCACCGTCCATTCAGCCGCCAAGCGCTAACCCTAGCACTCCCCCGCCGCCATCTCTGATCCCTCCGCCATCGATCCAGCCTTTCCCCGCCCCGTCTTTCAGACCTGCGACGCCGTCCGCTCCCGTACCTGGGACCACTCCTCAATTCTCCCCCATCCCTAACCCTGGCTTGCAGCAAGCTCAGACCTTTCAGGCGCCTGGGGTTCCACCCCCCGGAGTCAGCTCTGTGTCGCCGGTGATGATGGCACCTCCTTCAGTTGCTCCGGCTGCCGGAGCCGGAGTAGTTCAGATGGGGTATGTTCAGTCTCCTTATGCTCTTCCAGGGCAGCCCGTGAGACCATATGCTCCATTGCCGAATGGTTATCTAGCCGTGCCACAACCTGGCACGACTCCTCCAGGTGGGTTTCAATCTTCTTACTGATGCGTTCTGCTTTAGATTCATCTTTCATTTGTTGGGTGATTTAAAGGTATGTGCATGTGATACTTATTATGGGAAGAAAAAAATATGATTCTTTTATCAATATGGGTCAAAGATCCTCACTTCAGACTACTAGAACACAATCTTTGCCTTATAATGACCTTGTGTGCTTCAAAAGAATATGTGTTATGGCGTGTATAAACAAAATAGTATGGTTGATGAGGAATCACGCGTAAGACATGTGTTGGTTGGGTACTTTGATTGGGGGCCTCAATGACAGGATGTTTTCTCCTACAGTGTTTGTGGATTGGTTGGGTGATAGGAGTCAGGTGGCTTCTTCATATTGCAGTTCTTTAGAGACTACCCAACTTCTAAATTTTTGGTATGCAAACAACTGCTTAGCTTCCTTTTAAGTTGCATGAAGCTTCATAGGAACTAAAGAATAACAACTCACTACCCACTTTTTACAAATATAATTTCCCACTATTTGTAATGTTATTGTGCATTGTTCATTAGTAGGCTTAATTATAGTTGTAACGTTTCTTCCCCTTTGGTGGGATATTGATTCTTGATATGCCGACAGAGGACCTTGTTAACAACTGACTGCTCATTGCCTTTTTATTCATACCCCCAAGGTATCACAATTCTTTCAATTTTTTGCATACATAAAAGTATTTCTTCCGTTACACTGTACACAAAGTTGATAATCGCTGATATATTCCATATCAAAATAAATATTCACTGCATCAGTGGAAGTGAGAGTGAGACACTGGAAGTCAGCGTCTCATCTTACTATTATCGAACACTCACTATGCATGCATGGGATTTTGGATAGTTTTGAAACACAACTACTATCAAGTATAAGCATCAGGTAAGTCCAGCTAACACATTCATGTTTTATAAGTTCGACATTATTGTCTTGATGTTTGTTCAGGTTATTTGTTGTTCAGCTGATGAGTGTTGTCATGCCTATGGGTGCCATCTCTTATTGCTTGTAATGTTTGGTAAAAGTATTTGTTTATTTGTGCAAAATTATAATGCCCATTAATTAGCTTGCCCAAACTATGATAAATACGAACATGCACTGATAAATTTGCATAGAATTGTTTGTTGGTTTTTGCAGGAATGCTTCGGTATCCCTCTCTCTATAGGCCAGTATATCCTCCTCGGCCACCAGTTGGTGTAGGTGTTGTTCCTCCCTTGATGCGCCCTCCGGTTCCTGTTGTCCGGGGCCCTGTTGTACCTCCTGCTATTAGGCCAGTCCCCTCACCAATAATTGCTCAAACAGATAAACCTCAAACAACAGTCTATGTTGGAAAGATTTCTTCAGCTGTAGAAAATGATTTCATGCTTTCTCTATTGCAGGTATGGCTCTAATATTCATATGCATACCACTTTGGTATTTATTTCTTCTAATACATATATGCTCTCCAGTTCTCCATTTTCACTGGAGTTAACTTGAATGTCTCACACCATTCTACATGTTAATTGGACTAATGCTCTGTCAATTATAAAGCTCTGTGGGCCTGTGAAGAGTTGGAAACGTGCTCAAGACCCAACAAATGGATTGTTAAAAGGTTTTGGTTTTTGCGAATTTGAGTCAGCAGAAGGAGTTCTTCGTGCATTGCGGCTGCTTAGCAAATTAAAACTCGATGGGCAAGAGTTGATGGTAAGACATTATATCACCTCTTTGAACATGCACGTATGCATACCAGGGGCCTATGTTGATCAGTTGTTACGTTCCATCTTCATTTTTCAATATATCTATATCTAAATCTTTTCAATGCTTTTCTATCTAGTGCTTAGCTTATGTGGCCTAGCTTATTTTGTCGTGTCTACTTTTTCAAAGGGAACAATCTGAAAAAACAAAAAACTGTGAAGAACTATTAAATATAGATGGTTCAGGCTAGATAGAAAGAAAAACATGCATCTATTTAGATGCTCCAATTTATGAATTCTCTTCTTAGTCACCAAATTTAGTAATCTAAAGAGGATCAATGTTCTAGAGAAGCCTTGGTGAAACTAGTGCATTGCGCTAGACTTATTATGTACTCTCTTCGTCCCACTAATTTGGGGACATTAGAGAGTGACACAAATTTAGGGAAATTTGAACTGTGTCCTTGACATTGAATTTGTAAAGTATGAATTGATTTGACCCACATAAATCATACCAAACATGGTTTGTGACAAACTTTTTGGCAGTGAAAAAGGAACAAAAATACTTGGGTGGAGGAAGTTGTTTTTCTCAATTCCTTAGCCTCCTTGACATTCTAATTTCCTGGATTGAGCTTTTTTCTAATTTTGGTTAAATTGGTATACATTCAGCTAAATGTCAATCAAGCAACTAGAGGATATCTTGAACATTATGTTCAAAAGAAAATGGAAAGCTCAACTAAACCCAAAGCTGATGATGCTGGAGGGGCTGACAACATGGAAGAAAATGCATCAGATGCTAAAACGAATGAAGCTGCAAAGAGTGGCTCTGAAGACGTTGAACCTGCTTCACAAGATCCTAAGCAGGATAAAGAGAAGGAAAATAAAGAAACCCCTGATACAAACACCTTTGGGCTTGTCACTGATGAAGATAGACAAGCTGACCAGGAGGCCTTGGAAAAGCTCACAGATATGATAAGTGAAAGGATTAAGAATAAACCATTGCCACCACCACCTCCACCGCCTCAGGTATTATCCACGGATGCTAGTGGTAACTCTAATGTGGAAAACCACTCTAAATCAAGAGATGGGGAATCAGATGCAGGTGGTGTAAAAAGTGGTAAGTTTTTGGGCAGGGTAGTTTTTGTTTTAATTCCTGTTTGCCAAGTCTTATGTGAAGTACCACTTTGTGTGTTTTTTTATACTTGTAATAAATTTATTATTTCAAACCGTATCTATTTGGTTTGCATGACTTGGTGTTTCTTTTTCTTTTTTTAATCGCAAATGCAGCAGAAGGGAAAAATGAAGATGATCTGACAAGTGAGAGTAAGCCCTCAAGTGAGCATGATAAAGATGAAACAAGCTCCCCTGATCGCAGAAGACATGATAGGGCTAGAGACCGGGACCAGGATACTACGAAGAGGGAGAAGGAAAGAGAACTTGAAAGGTATGAGAGAATGCGTGAGCAGGAGCGGGCTAAGAGAGAAAAAGAAAGAGAGTACAAAATTTGGGATGATGAGCGTAAGTTCAAGACACGGGAAAAGCAATGGGAGTCTAGAGAAAGGGAGAAAGAGCATTGGAGAAAAAGAGAGCGGGAAAGGGAGCAGGATAGGGCATATGAACGCAAGTTGGAAGTAATGGAACAAGAGCATGATGGTGAGGATGGTTACAAAAGGAGGAGACACAGAAGTAGTGATGAGGATAGAGAAAGGAGACAGAGAGAAAAAGAAGATGACTTGGCAGACAGGCTTAGAGAAGAAGAAGAGATGGCCGAGGCTAAACGGAGGGATGAAGAACAAAAGCTAAAGAAAGAGCAAGAGGAGGCTTTAAGAATTCTAACTGGTCATGTAGTTAATGGACATGAAACGGCCGTTTCACCTATGAAAAGCAATCACGAGGATATGAGTGATGTGGTCTCTTCGGATCCAAATGTGACTAATGGTAGTTTCTCTTTTTCTTATTCTCCGGTGAAATTCGTAGAAGTGTTGAAAGTCTTTTTTTATTTATTTCTTATTTGATTTTGGATGTAAATGACAGGCGAAGCATTTGCACACAATGTCACTGGTGATGAATCAGGTGCTCCCGCATCAGATATGGTGCAGCAAAGTGGCACTGCACCTGCTAAAAAGTTGGGATTCGGCCTACAAGGATCGGGAAAAAGAGCTGCTGTTCCTTCAGTATTTAATGAGGATGAGGATGAAGATGCACGAAAAGACAAGAAAATGAGGCCACTTGTGCCAATTGACTACTCAACTGAAGAACAAGCGCAGCATCCTTCCATTTCTGACGTACCTTCTTTGAACTCAGCAGCAGAAGTTGCAAAGCGTATTTCTAATGTTAAAGAGGGGAGGCCGGATGCTGAAAAGGATAGAAGCAGAAGGTCACATGAAAAACATAGCCACCGGGGGGAACATGAAAGGCATGATGAAGAAAGCCGAAGAGAAAATGCTGATCATAGATCTGATAAAGTGCGGAATCCAGATAATCAGAAGCTTTTAGATGCCAAGGAATTGATTGACATGATCCCGAAGACTAAAAACGAGTTGTTTTCATATGAGATAAATTGGGCAATCTATGACAAGGTGAGATACACAACTCCTCCCTATGAGTGTAGTCTTTCACGTGTGAAATTTCAAAGTTGCCTTCTTCGTCTTAAACAAAACAAAAACTAGGAAGTGTGCATTCTTTTAGTCTTTTCAGATCATATTGCATTTCATAATTTTAGCTTCTTATGTTGTGTCTTATCAAAGAATTGTTAACCATCTGTGTTTCACATCACAGAATGCACTCCATATAAAGATGAGACCATGGATCAACAGGAAGATTACAGAATTCCTGGCGGAGGAGGAACCCGAACTGGTAGACTACATAGTCTCCAGCCTTCAAGAGCACGTGAAGGCAACTGAGATGCTGGAGAGACTGCAAATATTGGATGAAGAAGCTGAAATGTTTGTTTTGAAGATGTGGAGGATGCTCATCTACGAAATCAAGAGAGTTGAAACTGGTTTGGCTTCGAGGTCTAAGTCCTAATTTTAATTTCCTTTCTTTTTTATATATGTCATGGAGGCATGCAATTGCACTGCTATTATTCTTTTTCCATCCGTCTACCTCCCATTATGCCTGTTCTTCAGAATTATCGATCATTAGAGACCTGAATTTTGAAAGAAAAAAAACGCACACAAACGATAATACTTGTTCATTTTTAAATGCATGCTCTATTTTTTCTAACAGTTCAAGATACGTGTTTCCTTTTGTCATCAAGTTAACCCAAAAAGCGTATGTGGGATGGTCTGTGAGACTTCTATTAGATCCAGTATTCTGTAGTAATCACCGTATAAGAGATGTGACTTCCTAATCTTATTGCCTAGGTTTTGAGTATTATTCTCTGGATCTTATATGGGAGTGATATGTCTGGTAATTTCTCAAGGCATGAATACTTAAACATTCATTTTTTTGAAACAATGAATGAATTTTTGAATTATAAACTATCACTTCTCAAATCAGAACAAAATGCTAGACTGCTAATTTTGAATCACTATCTTTAAGAGTATGAGTTTGGATATCAAGTTCTCTTTTTGTGTGTGTGTGTGTGTGGAGTTTCTTGAGATCTAAGGCTGTGTTAATTTAGATAAAATGAGCCAAGTGGGGTTAAGTACTTTTTTTAAGTACTTTGAGGCAGGTTTACTACGGTAATGTCTTATACTCTTATAACTGTTGTTTAGCTGGTTATGAAGAAAATGAAGGTAAATATTTATTTACACTCTATACTTTAATCGGGCTGATTCTTTTGACACTCGCCACGGGTGGCATTATATGACATTGGTCCATTTGGAGACCATCCAATATTTTGTTCAACCCTGAAGTAGTTCCTACCCTCTCCCACCTAACCCCCTTTCACACCCCTTCACAATTTAAACTCATTTTGTCCTTACATTGATTTAGAGTATATACACCTGTCTTGGATAAAATAAATGCTGAACAAAGTTATTCGGGGAATACCAGGAGTGGTTCCTGTTAAGAACAAATTGTGCGAAGCTAAGTTTAAGTGGTTTGGGCTTGTTAAGACGAGGGTGTTGAGGCTCATTTCAAGAGGTGCGAGAGGCTTACGGTGACAAGGGTGAGTCGGGTTAGAGGTAGACTTAGGAAGAGTTGGGTGGAGATGATTAGTCAGGACTTAAACTCCATGATCTCACCAAGGATATGCCTATAGATCTGAATGCATTGAGATCTGGGATTTAGGTTGAGTAGAAGAGTAGTCATAATTAATACTTTTGACCAATGTGCCTTTTTACTTTAGTCTGCAACTTGTACTTGTGTGCTTTGGATTTAGTTGGCTGAGTCTGCTTATGTGTTTCTCCTCTGTGGTCTTTTTGTTAGTACTTTGTTACTCTTTTGTAGTTTGTTTGCCCGTACTCTTTTTAGTCGAGGTCTCTTTGAAAACGCCCTCTCTACTTCCTAGCGGGAGTAAGGTCTGCTTACACATTCACCCCCTCCCTAAGCTCTTCTTGTGGGATTTTTCTGGGGTTGTGGTTATTATACAAATCTATCATGAAAAGAAAGTTTTTTTTTGTGTGGGTATGAAAAGAAAGTTTGAGTACAATTTTAGAAGGAAGGTGAGATAAAAACAAAAGTAGGGGCAAATGTGATTTACCTGCCTAACTAGTCCATCAATTTGGAGGTGGCTAATTTGATTCTTCTCCCAAAAATGATATAAAGTGGCAGAATGGGAATATAGTTTCTTCATATGAATACTGGGGTGGCATCACAATACTGGTATGTGCCTTTGATTTTCATATGTATATATTGACTTTACTTTTTGTGGGATTTCATTGTGTTGTTGTTCTGTGTGCATTGAGTGCATCTAGGATTGCATTGATTCACCAATTTGCTATTTAATTTTTTTTACACATACAATTCTATATTTAGTACCATAAACTCCTTGTTTCGACTTTTTTTAAAGTCAAACAGTGATATATTTTGACCATAAAATAAATAAAATCTAAACAAATAAATGTTAAAAGTATTTGATATATCAAAACTATATTCTAACATGAATCCAATTATATTGAATTTACATTATGATTAAATATATTTTTTTCACATTTTGTAGTCAGATGGGATGGTGTTACTGTTTGACTAAAAAAGTCAAATAGAAAAGAGTTATAAAGGAAGTATTTTATTATATTTTGTTTCGGTATTTATGTCTTCCTTGCATCCTGTAATTTTTTAAATTATCGTTTTCTGCCCCAGTCCCCGTATATGGTCTTGCACTCCGTCCAAGTGCAACCTAGGAGTGCATAGAAATGTGAAAGTGCAAAAAAAGCTCCTCTAATGAAAGTTTAATAGCTTTGAGCTTTCGAAGCAGATGGGAAATCGCCAAATAAGGTACGTTTAATAGAGTTGTGTGATTTTACATTTTATTTACTCAAAAAAAAAGGTTGTTTAGCATGAACGAATGATGATGAAGGTTTGTTTCTATTGATAAGTATGATTACCTCAAAGAGATGTCAAAAAAGAAAGGGAAATAATATGAGTAACACATTTTCTCCTGAAATGGAAATAAAGAATTAAATAAGGCAAGTCTTAAAAAGAAAAGTGATAGTACAAAAAAAGGAAATATTGGGAGAATGGAACAACACAAAAATGAATTTGGAAAGAGCATGATTTTTTTACTCCTCATTAGACCTGGCAAAAAGTGACCCGACCTGTTTTTGACCCGAAATCCGACTTGAAAACACTGGGTTTTGAACAAAGGTTTTGATGACCGAACCCGAAGTTGACCGAACCCGAAATAACCCGCTAAAATGGGTCAAACCCGACCGAACCCGAACCCGACCTGACCGACCCGCTAAAGTAAGAATTTTTCAAAATTATACTCTTTTTTACTTGTTTTTAATGTATAAATTTATATTTTCAGACAAAATTTTAATGATATTGCATAATTATCATACTTTTTTCCAAAACTTAAACATTTTTAAATTCCTTATATTGATTTATATATCTAAAAACTACTCTAGAGTTTAAAATAATATAACTTTATAGATTTAGTACTTTTTTTTTGATATTTTAAATTTATTTAATAGAAAATGTAAGTGTTAATGTGAATTTAAAAATTTAAAAAACCAAAGTCATAACCCGTTGGGTCGACCCGAACCCGATGACACTGGGTTATGAACATACAGTTCTCAACCCGAACCCGAATTAACCCGAACCCTAAATAACCCGAACTTGAAGTGACCGAACCCGAACCCGACCTGACCGACCGATTTGCCAGCTCTACTCCTCATCCCAATTTAAATCCCTTATTTTGGTTTACGATGTTGGATTGAAATTATTTTCAAATCATTGATATAGAATTAAAAAATGAAAATGACAAATTTAAAAATTAGATCAAAAAATCTACAAAACTAGTGGTGATATGATTATACTCCCTCCGTCCGGTAAAAAGCTTCCTACTTTGACTTTTCCTCATTTTTAGTGGAGGGTTGAATAAGGCATGAAATGACTAAATTACCCTTAATGAAGGAAAAAAAAAGAAAGAACAGAAATAAGGGGCCGAACACATTGAAAGCAAGCAAAGTACACCAACTACACTATTTCAATCATTATCATACATCAAATCCATGATTACATAACAAAATTTAGGCATTCCCTCTAAATTTTTTTGGAATGCCGCCCAATACTTCCTCCAAATACATCAATTTTGAATCCATTTGCAGGCTATTTAACCCCCTCCCCAAGATTATTACAGTAACACCCAACACTACTCCCCTTTCTTCTCCATCTTTGTCTTCCTAATCTTTTCAACAATCCTTTCACATTCAGCTTTATTCCTCTTCCTTTTTTCATTCCGATGTCCAGGCGGCCTGCATATAACACCAAAAAATTAGACAATGTAACACGACAGGTTATAAGCGAGGCGTTACTTTCACATTCAAACGAAAACCCCGATGGTTCTTACTCAGCTCAGTATGGACAGATCAAGAACCTTGCAGCACAATTTAAAGCGTCTACAAGAACAGTCAGTAGCATATGGGCCATTGCAAAGAAACAATTAGAGCTGGGCATTGCCATTGATGTCAGAAATAGAATGGCAGGAAAAAGTGGCAGAAAAAGGGCTGAGTACCTACATTTCCGATATTGTCTGTGAGGGGACTCCGCCTCCTGATGATATTCTAGTGAACGTCGACGGTAGGTATTCGGATTCAGATGACACGTACTCACCTAATTTTTTCCATACGAATCCTCGGTAAGATTACGATAATTTGGCATGGAAAGTCTACGATTATTTTAAAGTTCCAACTCCAAGACAGATCTAGTTGTTGACCCATATACCATGCCAATGCACCCTAGGTTTAAGACTTTTGAGAATGTTTTACACATTGATGAGAAATGGTTCTTTATGTCCAAAACGTCTCAAAAGTTTTACCTTCTCCCTGATGAACTAGACCCATATAGGGCCTGTAAATCAAAAAGGTTCATTGCTAAAGTAATGTTTCTCTGTGTGGTTGGGGGACCACTGTTTGGGGAAAATCAAGAAGTGTTATGAGATGGCAAGATTGGCATTTTCAGTTTCACAGAAAATTTAAGAGCCAAAAGGAAGAGCAAGAATAGGCCAAAAGGAGTTTTGGAGGTTAAACCAATTACCAGTGTTACCAAAGAAGTAACAAAGGACATGCTGATAAACACAGTTATTCCAGCAATACATGAAAAATGGCCAACACAGATGTCAAAAGACATACATATTCAACAAGATAATGCAAGGCCACATATTCAAGGAGTGGATTGTGACTTTATGGCAGCAGCAAACAGAAATGGGTTTCACATAACTCTAAACAATCAACCTCCCAACTCTCCAGACTTAAATGTGCTAGATCTTGGGTTCTTTAGAGCCATCCAGTCCTTAAAGGATCAGTGTGCTCCAACTACTGTGGTTGAGTTGATAGAGGTTGTTGAGGGAGCATATAACGCCCTGAGTCCAGAATGTCTAAACAAGGTTTGGTTGTCTTACCAGCAAGTAATGACTAAAGTAATGGAACATGAAGGCAACAACAACTACAAATTGCCACACATGGGGAAGGACAGACTAGCCAGAGAAGGGAATCTGCCCAAATGTTTGAACATAGACCAAGCCTTAATTGAAAAGGCAGCAACACTGGTTGGAGATCAGATTTTTACAACTAATGAAGAGATGGTTGAGTTCAGCACTGAAGATGTAGATGAGTACTTATCTTCAGACATGAACTGAACACACACTTCAAAGGCACTGTTTTTTTTGGATTGTGGTTACCAAACTGGGTTTTTGTAACTGCTTACCATGTTTTG